TCAGTGCGGGGCGCATACGTGCCTTGCTCGAAGCATTATTACAGCTACTACTATTATCATTTCTAATAAGGGGTATAGGGTATAGTCCCCCTTAAGTAGATAGAATATGGGGTATATGGGGTAATATTAGGGTTATATGGGGGTTATATAGGGGTTATATTGGGATAATGGAAAAGAAAATGGAAACTACTATTTTCAGGTTTTGCGAGGTTTGGGGTTGCGGTGAGGAATCGTCTAGAAGCTGGACCGAATTTGGGCTCTGCAATGTTACAACGTGAGCCCTAAACACCTCTGTCTGTGTGTGCAGGTGTGTGTGTGTGTGTATATAGCCCCAAGAGTCCAAGTACTTGATAATCATATACCTACCCGAAACCTGTGCTATATTTCCTATTACCCAAAACCCTAATACCTTGGGTACTTAGACCCTCTGGGTAAAGATGTAGGTAGATCCGTAAGCCGAGTCCGTGTCAGGTCATTGGTATGTCTCAAAAACTGGCAAAGTTTGAAACGACCAAAGGGTTTAGGGTTTAGGTAGACCTCAAACATGGAGGCTCCCTGCTGTCGCACAGCGACAGAGGGTGGTTTCTTCATGATAGTTAGGGCACTACTATCAGAACCCATGGGGATCACCACTGTGTTGCTGTTATGGAACTTAAGCTAAGCTATCAGAATGGGTACACATATATATATATATGTTTATTTATTAATTTATTATATGGCAAACAACTGGGTTTCCCCATTGTAGTATCTTACACTAAGTTCCTCAACAGCAGCCCATACTAGGCCCCTCCAAGCGACCACGGCTGCTCATACCCTAAACCCTAAAAGCCGGAGCCCTAAACCCTAAAAACCCTAAACCCTGAAAACCCGAAACCCCAAAAGCCTAAACCCTAAAAACCCTAAACCCTAAAAACCCTTAACCCTAAACCCAAGCCACCACGGCTGCTACGAGGCAGCAGGCCATGTTCCCACCGAAGACGGCAGCAAGCAAAAGTCGCCTGGGTTGCTGTTAAGGAACTTAAAATTAAGTTACCATAATGGGTATGTATAGTAAAAAATAGGGTTCCCCCCTAAACCCTAAACCCTAACCCCCCCCCCAATATAGTAACGTAATTTAACTTCCTTAACAGCAACCAAGTCGCTGGCGGGTGACGCCGAGGCCATCGGATTGCGTTTGGCCTAGAGGGTTAAGGGGTTAAAGGGTTTAGGGTTTAGGGTTTAGGGGTTTAGGGTTTAGGGGGTTTAGTTTAGGGTTTAGGGCTTAGGGGGTTTAGGGTTTAGGGTTTAGGAGGTTTAGGGTTTAGGCTTTAGGGGTTTAGGGTTATCCCAAGAGTAGGAACACTAATGGCCCAAAACTCCTAAACA